TCCCCACAAAGCCCCAAACTGTCCCCACGAGGCAATCTAGACTCTCAGTCTGTTATTAATTAAAGTCACTATCATTTGAGGCCCCCTCTATTTGTGGGGTATCGGGCCAGGTAGTTTATGACACACCCATCTACGATGCCTCGTAAGTGTCTGGCGAGGTGGGCATCATTGATTAATTCCTAGTTTTCTGCTAAGACTACTGAGGTCTTGAAAAGTAACTCAATTAAAGGCCTTCGCTTGTAAAAGCTGGAGCCAGGATTTGAACCCAGGTCCGCCTGACGCCCAATTTACTCTTAGCAGAAAATCTCTTCCTTGCTCCGTGGCCTGGCCCCTTGCCACTCCCCCACCAACCACCCCCCATCTCCCAAGGAAGCCCGCGCCTCCCTCACCAGGAAAAATGTGAGTCTGCGGCTTCAGGCTTGCTTTTCACACCTGCCTGGCCCATTCCAATCCTAGTCGTTTTTAAAGTAACTCCAGAAGGAAGATCTATGAATTGTGTTAGTGTCATGCAGTGGACTCTGACTCCTAGGACCCTGCCTACAGCAGAGCAGCACCCTGCCTGGTCCTTTCATGCCATCCTCACCTCCCAGTGCTATATCAGACAATGTTTTACTGCTATTCATAGGGTTTTCATGCCCAGTTTTTTTGGAAGTGGGTGGCCAGGTCCTTCTTCCTTGTCTGTCTAGTCTGGAAGCTCTGCTGAAACCTGTCCACCATGGGCGATCCCGCTGGTATTTGAAATACCAATGGCATAGCTTTCAGCATCACAGCAACACGCAGACATCACAGTATGACAACTGACAGACGGGTAGTGTGGTCCCCCGACTGGGAAACGAACGCGGGCTGTGGCGATGAGAGCGCCGAATCTTAACCACTAGACCCCCAGGGCTGGCTTCTATTAATTCGTAAAGCTAAATTACTTTTTCCTCCCTCCCAGGGGAACTTGGTCAGCAAAGAGAGGGTAGCCCTTATGGAGGGTGCATTTAGGATAGAGACAGCTGGACGTTTCTGGCCCTAAAAGCCCCACTGTGTTTTGCATCTGATGATGCTGGCACAGCTCAGCTTAAAATAAATGTGTCGTCTCGCATGTGACAAGGAGAAGTCTGAATTTACAATGTCTTTAGAGGACCAGTCAGCAATATCTATACATTTTAAGTGTGTATGCCCTTTAATTTACAACCGCCTGGCTGTGAATCTGTCCTCCAGATAAACTCATACAATTCGAAAAAATAGACACACAAGGATGCTGCCTGACGCCCTGTTTATGAGAAATGATGGTGCAAAGCTGGTCTGTTTCAATAAGGGGTTGTTTCAGTAAGCTGCTATATTTCCATATAACAGAGTACTATGAAGCTGATAAAAAGGAAAACGCCAAAAAGTGCTGATATAGAAAGATGTTGAAGATACGTAATTAAGTGAAAAAAAAACCCCCGCTAATTTACAGAATGCCAAAATTTGTGTAAAAAAGGAAGATTTGACATAGAAAACTTTTGGAAAGATACACGAGAATTCATGAACCACGTCTGCATCTAGAGATGGGGAGGAGGGGAGAGGGGGTCAGGTGGGGGGACCAGGGGGAAAGTATTCTACTTGGAGACCGGGGGATGGCTATAAGGACCCCTGTGGTCTCCGACAGTGGTGGCTTCTGAGATGCTGTCTCTTTGCAGCATCCTTTACCAGCAGAGGGGAGGACCAGGAACGGTCCAACATGGCAAAGCCGAGCCTGCGTTAGTGAGCGGGAGGTGAGTCTTAGGGCCCTATCTTAGGGATTTCGATGGAGGCTGTTCCTCCTGGGCCCCTGAATCTCTAATGCCAGTCAGAGGGACCCAACGTCCCCCTGCAGGATCAGCGGGCAGCACTGCCTTCTTCCTCCATCGTCTGATCCCATATAAAAGCTCCTTCACATTCCTGCTTGGCCTTCTCCACACTCAGCCTTCCCTCCATCGTGTGGCCGCGGTTAAATGTGTTTAAAGGCCAGGGGTGGAGGGGCGAGACCCCGGGGAGCAAAGGAGGAAGTCAGACAGGCTTCTCCATCTCCCAGGTGAGCTCTTAAAGGATGCCATCGCCACCCTAAATGAGTCACAAATGGGCCAATGTACCCGGAACTTGTAATGTTCCTGACACAGGAAGCGTGGCTCTATTCAAGTAGAAGAAGCTTCTAATAACCACCACCTTTAGCCCAAATAGGAATTGGGTTTATGAAAAGCGATGACACAAAAGGAAAATTAGGAACAAATTTCTCCTTGATGGAAAGGCCACACAATAGGCTTCCTGGTTCTCCAGCTGTGCCACACTGAGCTAGATCCTTGAGGTCTCTGGTCATGCCTGTCATAGATAACCACCCACTGAAGTTCACCAGGGACCAGGCGCTGTGCATTACCCCATTTCATCCTCCCAGCACGGTGATCCCTTAGCTCCGGAGTTAGAAAGAGCCAGCTTTGCAGAACTCTGTCTCCCTCATTGGCTAATCGAGTTATCTTGAGCTAGTTATTCAAACACCACATTTGTAAAAACAGGGCCGATAATCACAGCATCTGCTCCAAAGGTTGCTGTGACAGCTCAGGAAGAGGATGCACACCAAGGGCACGTCGTCTGGCAAAAGTGTTCACCTGACATCAGCTGTTCCCATTGGCCCCATTTTACAGATGGGAAAACTGAGGTTTGGGAAGGCCAGTGTGGATGATTTTTAAATTTGCCTGTGACATTCTAGGATTCCAGCGGATTTAAAAGTGGACTTGGTTTTCCAGGAAAATCTAACGGATGCCCGATTGTAGATTGACAGGGTTGTGCCTACAGCATCAAATCCACCTGTTTGGATTCCGTGCACCGAGGACAAGGGGAGACAACCTTCTCAGCCAAAAAAGAAAACTTTCAAATCCGAGGGAGTAGGAAAAGGTAATAATGCCCCTTTTCTCCCAAATGTCTTCTCCTCCGGGATCCTCCACTCGTTCCCGGATAGGAAGGACGAGGGCACAGAAATCCCCAGAGTCACGACCGACAGGGCTGGAATACAAGGCTAATTTGTGAGGGGGCCGACGACGGCCTCGTGGAAAACGCTACCATAAATGGGCATGTGTGCCTCCATCTCAGCCCTCACACAGAAAAGCAACGGTAACAAATCCATAACAAATACCTTGTACGGAATTACACGTCTATTTCAGACATGATAATAAAAAACATGGCGTTTACAGGGCGAGCCCCAGAGGTTTCTCGAAGAAGGCCTGGCTAGTTCACGTTTTGGACTCGGGATGGCAGCCCACCTAAGGTTATAGGGCCAACTTTATTACCACACCACCCGGGGACAAACAGTGCATTTTATTTGCAATTCACAAAAGGTCCGTTTATGTTCTCTTCAAAGAGAAGATCATAGATATTTGCCTTTCTGCAAGCATTTGGTCCCACTAGACACCTGAATCCAACAAAGTTTTTGTTCATGGTGAAGAAAAAAAAGAGTGGGGTCAAGGGTCTATAGCCTTGGCATCAGACAGACCCAAGAAAGGGTTCTACCACTTGCTAGCTGTGTGACACCGGGCAGGTTACTTAACCTCTCTGAGCCTCAGCTGCCTTGTATACTAAATAGGCATTATAAGGCCTCCCTTAAAAGGTTGTTGCAATGACTAAATGAGATAAATTAAGGCAGACACTGCTACAGTGCCTGGGACATAAGTGTTCCATCAACAGTAGCTATCTCAATGGGAAAGCCAGTCTGCAAATTAACCTGTTCGTTTTTAATGCTGTGGGGCATGAGGGTAACCTTTTCCTGGCTGCTCTGCAGGAAATCCCAGCGCAATCTTAACTTAGTGCACCTGCAGGTTTGGGGGGCCAGTGTGAACTTTGACATCTTGTCTGCCTATCTGAGGCCCCCGGGGTCCATCTGGATGAGATTTTCAAAAATTGGGTGGGGGGAGGTTCTGGAAGCAAACTGGGCCGTGGTAAGTGAACTGGATCATAACCAGCCGTCTGGGTCCAAGGTTACCAACCAACACATCCTCTGGACTGATGGAAAACACTCCCCTTTCTGCGGGGCATCTGCCCGTGTGTTTCCAACTGAATTAATGCGTTATCGACAGAACTAGGCGACACGTCCAGATCCACGGGGGGCATCGCTTTGCCCGCCTGTGTAGACTGGACAGGACTTCTCAGCGACGCCCAGCTGCACTTTTTCTGTGCCTGGAATGAAAGCTCGGAGCGTGTCAAGGCGGGACCTCTGAGATTTCTGAGAGAGCACATCCCCCGGGCTCGCCTCTTCTCAGGAACCGTCCGGGACATTGCTCTGTTTTTTTTTTGTTGTTTTTTTTTTTTTAAAGTACAGTTTTTCCGGAAACTCTAGTGCAAGCGGAGTGGGGCTCAGGCACTGTTCTCTTCAATAAGTTTCCCCCAAGGTGGTACTTAGCGCTGGCTACTCCCCGTGGGGGATGCTGGATTGGGGAAAATCCAGGAGGATGGGGTAGAGAAATGAAGACTGCGAGCCTCCCCGCCTCACCACCGTCCTTAAGAGGGTGACCAACAGCTCGCGGCTCGCCAGCCCCTGTGGGATGCCCCGGGGGACCCTCCGCCCCCAGCACCCCATCCCCACCCCCCACCCCAGGACCACTCTACTTACAGATCTCCAACTAGGGGGGCAGCGGAGAGGAAGCTGGATGGAGAGCCCAGATCTGGCGCACCTCCCGGGCCGGGGCGTCCAGATCTCCCCGCTCGCCCCGAAGCCTGTCTTTATAGACGCGGGGCTGCCCGCTGTGGGAAAGGGGAGGCGGCCCCGGGGGCGGGGGGCGGGAGGGTCCCGCGCGCGCGCTCCGCAGCGCCCCCTGCAGGCCCGAGGGGCGCGGCGGCGGGCCGGCCCGGGGGCGCACCTGCGGCGGCGCTCGGGGAGGGGGGCGCCCGGGGGCGGGGCGTTCCCGGCAGAAGCCGGCGGGCCGGGGTCTCACCCCGAGACTCCGGGTCCCTAGAGAGAGGGGTCAGCGGCCAGCGGGGATGCTTGAGAATGTCTACCGTGAGTCAGTTCCAGTTTTAACCGCTTCCTCCCCGTGGGAAGAAGAGCCGTGGGTCTGAGTTGACCCCTCCCCGCCGCACTCCCCAGTTTCTTCGCCTCCTACTGGCTGGAGAGGGCGCCGGCCAGGCCGCATGAAGGGTGGGGACAGGGGATTTTTTGAACCCTGCAAAGTGTAGGGCAGGAGCCCCCTCGACGGCTGGGAATGGTGCGGGAAGGGGAAGTTTTTACTTTTCCCAACTTGCCATCCCCATCTCCACCCACAAGCAAAAAAAAAAATCACTCGGTTGTGATTTCAGGCCCCGGGGAGCTCCCTTCGCTGGCTGCGTGACCTCAGGCTGCTCATTTCCCTTCTCTGAGCCTCAGGGTCCGCAGCTGGGAGATGGGTGTGCGCGTGATAAGGATGGAACGTGCAGGGTGCGTGTCAGGATGCAACGAGAAGGTGGGTGCGACGCCGCCCTTGCAAGTTCCCTGCCACGGTCCCTCTCGCCTTGCAAGGCTTTCTTGCAAGGGAAGCAGCCGCCTGGAACTCCACTGTCTCTCTCCCTCTCAAGACCGCTTCTTTCCCTGTCTGTCTGTCCCTCTCCTGCATGTCTGACACGGCATCACCGTTTCCTTCTGTTCTGTGCTGCCTTTTTGGGGTCACTCTGTATGTCTCTGTCACTCTGTCCATCACTGTCTCTCTCTTTTCCTCTCCCGTGTGTCTCCCCCGTCTCTGGCCCCTGTGTCTCTGTGTCTCTCCCGTGTGTCTCCCTCTGTCTCTGGCCCCCGTGTCTCTGGCTCCGGGTCCCTCTCCCGCGGTCACACGCACGCACACAGGCCATAAAAGGAAGCCGCGGTGGGGGCTGGCGCCGCGCCAGGCCGGGACCCGGGGCAGCCCCCGCGCGCCCCGCCGCCTGCGCTCCCTCCCGGGCGGGCGGACCGGCCCGCAGGCGTCCCGGCGCATACCAGCGGGGCGCCGCTCCCCTGACTAAATATGGTGCCGCGCGCGCCTCCGGCCGAGGGCGGGCGGGGAGGGACCTGCCTCCGGGCCGCGGGGCTCCGGGCTCCCTCCAGCCAGAAGGTTAGGGGGATGCGGAGCCCCTTGCCAGGCTCTGCGCTTGGCACACCCCCATCTTATCCAAAGAACCCTCCTGACCACCAGGCAGGTGATGCGCGAGTGTGGGGGTGGGGGGGGTCTTTATTAATACCCCCATTTTGCAGGTGAGGAAACCGAGGCCCCAGAGGGGTGGAGAGATTTGCGCAAGCTTTCCGTGGGACGGGAGCCCTCCGCTGCCATCGTTCACTTCCAGAGACTTTGAAGGGAAAGGCCCAGAACTGGCCTTGAGGCTGAGAACCGGTTTCTAAGGTTAGATGACTGGGTTTCAATCTGCCTGTGCCACTTTCGAGCTGTGTGAGCAGGGGCAAGTCACTTGAGCTCTCTGTGCCTCGGTTTCCCTGTCTGTAACATGGGAAGAACGGCAGTTATGTTTGATTGCACACAGTCCTTGAAGGTGATCCGCGTAAATGAAGGTATTTCAGTGCTTCGTCTTAGCTGTTGTGCTGCTCAACCAACGGGAGACCGGGAGACCGGGAGACCGAGTGGAGCTGCACCAGGCCTTGGGGACAGGATGGTGAGTGACAGCCTGTCCCGCCACGGCATTTGCCTGCAGGCTTCCCGTCCCCTCTGCAGAGCCTGGAGCTCAGACCCTCTGGGTCCCCTCCTCGTCCTTCCAGCAGCAAACTCACCTGGTTTCCCCCTGTGCACACGCAGGCCAGGCCCGGCCACACTGCAGTGGGCCTAAAGCAGAGTCAGAAGCCAGGATTGAGCTGGCTGGGGAGGGCAGGGGGACAGCTCCTTGGGAAGTGATGAATGGGCTACCTCCCCACGTGCCTTTTAACGTCTCCTCTGTAAAAGGAGTGGAAATTGCCCCTGCGTTAGGACAGGAATGGTGTGGAGCAGAGGACGCCGGCAGGGGAAACTGCGGTGATCGCCACCTTCCCATCCTGGAAAGATAACGCAGAGCCGGCCGTCAGAACCCAACTTGCTGGCATTTTCACCAGAAGCAGTGACACTGGCACTTCCAAGAGGGTTGCACGGGCTTCTTTAAAGAAGCTGGCAACTTTTAAGAGAGAATCATTCTAACAGATGATTAATAAGGAGACTTTATAACAAACACTGAATTTGACTGCATTCTCTTCCCTAATCCTTATCACCACCGTAGGAAGTGGGCACTTTACATTTCTCAAGGGAAAGCACAGATGCTCAGAAGCCTGCCTCAGCCCCCTTCCTGGGTTGGTAAAGGTGCCAGCACACGGGAAGGGCTTACATAAAGCATCTCAGGCCTTTCTGGTACACTCTGGAAGCACCCGGGGACAGCATGTGCACCTAACAGTCAGTCAGTACACATCTGTCTGATGCAGAAGCTCTGATGTTCGCATTGTTATAATAACTAAATCAGACGCCTCCCTGTTATTTCTCATGGCTCAGAAAGCCAGTTATTTTAAGATGGCGGGGGGGAAAAGTTACTTACAAAAATGTTCCTTTGAGAGCTGTCAAGTCCGCTTCCTTGGCACTCTTTCCTGGGAGGCCCTGGAACGGGAGTTTCCATGAACTCATGGAACAAGATGGCAGAGGGGAATTTCTCTCGTGGAGTCTTTTTTTTTTTAATCAAATAGGTTTGTATTTGCTACTGGCTTCAAAAAGCTCCAAAGTGTGACATCCTTCACCTTTTAGTAATATCAAAGACTGGTTCCAAGCATGGTTTCTTCCTGCACGTGCTTCCCAAGGTAAGTATTTAAATGTAAGTATTTCGAAGTGTCTCTGCACTCAAGTCACCCAGCCCAAGATTCACACAGGACTTCGCCTCCTTGTGAATAAAGCGACACCGATCCCGACCAGAGCAAGGCTCAGCCCCAATTCTCTTGCGCAGAAGGACTCCATGTCATTCGTGTTGGCCCCCACGCGTCTCCAGGTCCAATACGGCATGGCACGGTTGCCTGCAACACTCTGTGCCTCACCAGTTTCCAACTCTAACTCCTGATCCTCGCCCTCTATCAGGAAGGGTCCTGCAATTCTCAGTAAAAACAAAACTAAACATAGTCTTACCGCGTGATCCAGCAAGCCACGCTCCGCGGGATTACTCAAATGAGTTGAAAACTTCTGTCCATACTAAAACCTGCAAACAGAGGTTTATAGCAGCTTTATTCATAACCGCCAAACCTTGGAAGCAACCAAGGTGACCTTCGGTAGGTGAACAAATAAACAAACTGTGCTACATTCAGGTGATGGAATGTTATTCAGTGCTAAAACGAACTGAACTATGAAGCCATAAAGACATGGAGGAGCCTTAAATGCATATCACTAAGTGGGGGTCGCCAGTCTGAAAAGGCTGCACACTGTATGCCTCCAGCTATGTGACATTCTGGAAAAGGCACAACTGCGGACACAGTGAAAACATCAGTGGCTGCCAAGGGTTGTAGGAGGGAGGGATGACCAGGTGGCGCACAGAGGACCTTTAGGGCAGTGAAGCTACTCTGTCCCATCTATGATGGCATATGCACGTCACTGTCCATCGTTCAAACCCACAGAACGCACACCTGGTGCGAACCCTAATGGCAACCGGGAGCTTTAAGGGATAACGATGTGTCAGTGCAGGCTCACCAGTTGCAGCGAACGTCGCACCCTGGGGGGGGGGGGGGGACGCTGACAGTGGGGAGGCTGTGCGAGCGTGGGGGCAGAGGGGATACAGGAAATCTCTGTACTCTACGTTCCATTTCGCCAGGAACCTAAAACTGCTCTAAGAAATAGTCTACTTTTTTAAAAAGGTAGTTTTATCTTGCTCTCATTTCTAAAAAAAATTACTGAAGACCACACAATCTTTGCACAATGGTTGTTAACAAAGATCCAATACCATGCAGCTGAGCAGCATGGTCCTAAATGCCTTTAAAGGCATATTCTCCCGAATGTTAATCCTTCATGTACACTTGGCTTTAGGTGAAAAGAACACATCAAATGTTACATAATCATAGAGGCACGTGAGTCATATACAAATGTGTTCTTGCACATAATTATAAAGCTATTAGTGTAGTCTATGCAAACATGCATGCTAAGCTGAAATTTATCATCTTCAGAAGCCACCTCGGCTCTATGAGCTTTTAGATTGCCCAAGTTGAAACACCCACTTTTCCTAAATTCCTCTTTAGTTCCAACTCCCATCCTGTTTGTGTGTAAATCCAAATTTTCTCCTAAAATTTCTCCTGCATTTCTGGAAGATAAGGTCTCCCAACAACCCAGGAAAACCACCAGCAATGATGTACTAGTTTATGAGTTTGAGAATCCTTTGATGGGTCCTCTCTATTTATGTTTGTCATTTCTTTAAGTGAATTTTTAAATGTCTCAGCCTGTGCACTTTTTTAAACTACTGGATTATAAATTAATGAATGCTGTTGAAAAATCCTGAGCATATGAATTTCTAGAGCAGATTTTCTCAACCCAAGGTCCTCCTTTGTGGATAGTCCTAAAAATCTCATAGTGGGTATTTTGAAAACAAGTGGTTTTCTCTTTTCCAAATGTAAAAATGAGAAACTAAATATGCTTTTCAAGCCATACATGGCCCCACAGATTACGATACTGTCCCGCTGGAGACGACGCCACCCCCCACCCCTACCACGCTCTGAAGAACAACTGTGCCAGAGCAACAAGGCTGTGGCCAGGGCCCCGCCCATCAGAAGGCCCCTCCCTCAACCTGACTTCGTCTCCAACAGCCCGGGCCGCCCAGAGCCCCAAGGAGGCCTGACAACCACGTCCCAGCACTCCCGTGGCCCAGGTGCACATCTCTGATGACACGACAGCCATACAAACACCCTTTGCACGAAGGTGAGTTGCCTAAATGCTTTTTTATTAAATGATACATTGAAGGTATAAAAGTTGCCCGGGTACGAACAAGGTACAGCATAACGCATGCAAAAGCACTATGGACTACAGGGGACAATTCTGTTTAGCTCCTATTTTGAGGATTCTATGTCAGTGTCCAAAATGACAAACTCCAGCACCTTTTCTTAATCAAGTCCTGCAGGATTGCAGTTCCTGAGGGAAACACAGTGCCCACTGCCGACATCCTTGCACGCAAGCCGAGATCTCTGAGAATTCAGATCTTCAGGTTCCCACGTGCCATACAGTGAAATTCAGAAGTGCAGTCAGCTACTGCAGACTTCACTAAAAGATGCAAATGAGCCCTTATAATGCTTCTACGGCTACCATGTCATTTACGCCCCCCAACAGGGCCTCTCAAAATCCTCTGACTTGTAAAGTATGGTTTAAGGGGACTTATTTAATAATGTTCTGCATTCAGATAAAAATCCTTGGTTAATCTTTAAAGACTGAACACTGACTAGCACAAACATACAGTCAGGAGTTTCACTCATTTCCAAAGGCAACACCCTGACGAGAATGCTCATTTTACAACTACAGCCCTGCCCACGTGCCCGTGGAAACATTTAGGCTGAATGCTGTGGTGCTCGGGGGGCCCAAGCTTCGTTCTCAGTCTACCCTGTGACTTCCGGCCATCGGGCGCCGTCTTCTGTGACAGTCAGTGGTCTTCAGTGACATCAGCCTGTAGACTCCACATTATAAAAATGTCTTAATAAATATCAAAGCAGCATTTGAGAGAGAGAGCACTTAATATTGTTCTATCCGAAGAATAAAAATGGACGTTTAATAAGACTTTCGGAGCCCAAATAAGCAGGGGTGGGCCCTGTGCAGCTCGTGCTGTAAGTGCCCGATGGGCGGCCACGTGAGGCTTAGACAATGCCATCTTTGAAAAGGTGCTTTCTGGTATTTCGCCTAAAGCCTGTCTCTTCATGCTTATCCCACATTCTTCACGATAAAATAAACTCTTTGTTTTACTTACAGTAAAATTAAAAGAATTATTTCCCTCTCTACGTTTTAATTAAATCTTCCAGGAGAAGAGCCAAAACGGTCTAAGGAAAGAAAAGTACATTGTTAAGTTCAAGTGTAGATAGTATTTCAGATATTTAAGTCTCATTATAAATGGTTATCTGAAAAATAGCTCGTCAGAAAAAAACCAAACTTTATAAGAACTAGTTTTTTCTGGCTTTAGTGTTCTTTTAAATGTTTTTTTAAACATGAATTAATTTTCCTACAAATCTACCTAATTCCGGCCTGAAGGAAATTTAACTAATGTGCCATGTTAAAGGGCAGAGCATACGGCTGTAACGACCGGGAGGGGTTTTTTTGAAGAAGGTACAGAGTACTGAAACGTCCTTTCATTTCTCACACGTTTCACGACCTTTAAAATACTTCCTAGAAACAATCCATTTTCTTTCAAGCCAAATCCAGTAAGTAGACGACACAGTTGGCTTTTATTCAGAAATGCAGTAAAACACGAGGGGCTAAACGTTTTGCAGAAACTCAAGTTTCTACAAAGTGCAAGCGCTAGTGATGCATTTTGGTCATGCTGGGAGAATAAATAAGTTATTGACTACATACAATTTTAAGATAAAAGATGCCCCAATGGAAACGTCATCGCTTCACGGCTGGAGACACAGGAGGCTCTTCGATGTCAGCGCTTGTCCCCTTCCCCTTTCTTCCGAGGCCGTCTGCAATCGAGAGAAACAAATGTTAATACCTACCCCAAGCTAAAGCAGGCAAAAGGCAGACACATCTACGTCTATTTTAGGATGTTATATAGTTAATATGGTGCGAGTTCTTTAGATGGCTTAGGACAGAAAAAACTCCCTCTCTTTCAAATTCTAGTGAGGAAGTCAGACGTGGCGAGTACTAGGGCCTCAGTAACTATCCGAGCGTCTCTCGACTTTATCCAGAGACCAGAATCCTCCTGGAGCAAGCCCACGTGTTCGCAGTTACCAACTTCTCCTCATTACACGGCAGGAAGGGGGTTCGCAAGACAGGAGGCCGTGTTCCACCAGCATTTCGAGGGCTACCGAAGGTCATCGACTAAAAAGGGGGAAAACACCTTTCCTCAAACAGCAGCGCCTCCCAGCAGCACCCTCTTGTGGCAGGAGGAACCAGCACAGCTGACATCTTCTCCCCAAACCAGACAACTGGCTAAGAAACTGCAGAAAATGTTCTTCAGCCCAAAAGGAAACCACAAGCTCCGGAGAGTGCGGACACCCACGGTGCTCCGGCAGCAGCAGCGGAGGGCCCGGGCACGGCGCTCCATTTCTCTGTCCCGGGGACAGGGCAGAGGGCAGGAGCGTTCTAGACCAAAACCACCTACAAGACTTCACATCCAATGCGACAAAAACGCCAGGCCCAAACGAAATTCCTGAGGAAACGCGAACCCCCAGCTCTCCAGTCACTTTTTACAACAGAAAAAAACCACCTTTTTAATGACAATTTCGGTGACAGGAGAAAAAGAATACAAATTTAGACAAGTGGTAGAAATCTGCAATTTTTGCATCAAAAATGCACGCCGGATGTTCTCGTTCCAAAGACAGCTTGATTCTACGGTCTTCTCAGTCGGCAGCAGCTGGTCATCCTCATCAGTAACGTAAAGTGCTGCGACTACTACGGGTCTGAACACGGATGACGATCGAATCCCTCAATTCTAGGCAACTTTGCTGCCAGGAGAAAATTGACAACATCCTTAGGACATAAGCCTTTTAGGTTTTCTAGGAAAGCGTTACAGGAAAGTGCCGCTATGTTTGCAGGCACTTCCTCAGAGACGCGCATAAAGCTGAGCTGATGATGATTCTGTGATAAAACACCTGGTCTTTGACGTCCAGCCCCCAATGTGACACGCACTGCTCACAGCCCTCGGGAACGGGCCCGCCTCCAAGGTGAGTGTGCTGTATGAACCGCCTGCGTTTCTCTCAGCACCGTGAAAGCTTGATGAAAGAAGGGCCTGTGTGCTTGGGACTTATTTTGAAATAAAAGAGAACCTGAGCGTAGGGTTTTCTACTTCAGCTGGATGAGCTTGCGTAGAGCTGAGATACTGTAATCGGAAGAATAACCATTTTACTATCTCCATAACCTTTTCAGGGTTGTCAGAACGTCCGTATCCTCCGCACAGTAAGCTCGCGTTGAGAGGGGCAATGGAAAGCTTAGGTGTGTTCCTGGAACAGAATGCGGGTTTTGGCTGACAATTCTTCACAGGTTGTTGCACAGAGGTCACTACTGTGCCAGGAACATTTTTGATGACGGTGAAAAATACTGTGCACAATCCCTGTCCCTCCCCTGTTGGATCAGCAGTCATGCTCACGGGGCCTTCCAGGGCCTTCCAGGGCCTTCCAGAGCCTTCCAGAGCTTTACTGACCTGAGCTCAGTTCTCTGACGGCTCTGGCACCTGATCCGTGAAGGACTCACAGTAACCACGGCGCTCTCGAATTCTCTCTCATTCTCCATCTCTCCCCGCCACCCAGCCCCTGCGGTGTAAGCCTACCCAGTAGCTAATCTGTTCCGTTCATCTCAGAAGAACAGAGTTCGGTTAAGAAATACTCGGTTACTTACAATTTTCTTACTGGTCATTAGCCATGAATATTGAGATTGATTATAAAAAGCTTACAAACCAGGAAAGTTCTTTCTCAGGGTTATTTTTCCTGATGGGACTGAAAATACCGATGTCGTAGGTTTGATGTGTTAACAAGTGTTAACGTGTACAACACCCACTGGTGACAATGAAACAGAGAAACTGGTACTGTCACATATTCTTCCTAAGAACGTAAACTGGTCAAGCCTTTTTGGAGGGGAAGTAGATGATATCTACTATGTTTTTAACGTGCATAGGCTTTGAATCAGTAATTCTGCTTCTAGGACAAGAGAAACACTTGTGAGGACAAAGAAGTAATGCTACTCTGCAGTACTGTGAAAGCGAAACATTAAAAACATATAAAAGTGCGTCAGTAAAGAGCGATCAGCAACACGACGGAACACTACACGAAGTTAAGAGCGAGGCAGAAGGAGATACGCATATACTGACAATTGAAAGAGGCAAATTATAGGGTAATACGTACAGGAACAGTGCATACACATTTACATACACAGAAATAAGTCCTGAAGGATGCCTGCCAAGCTGCTAACACTGGTACCCTCCACAGAAGGGAGGAAAATCGGGGAGTTAGGGAGAGACAGGAAGTGAAAAGGAGAAAGGGAATTTCACATTATATTACTTGAATGTTTAGAGATTTACTCGTGTACTTGTGAGTTTGGTTTTGTTTTTTAAGTACTTGCCAAATAGTAGACACTAATGGCAGTTCCTTACCAATCCCTGGAAAGAGAACTAGGGAAACTTCTCAATAGTTTGTAAGCTATGGAGGAAGTGTAGAGGAATGGCGATCGAAGGTGCTGATTCTGCTAAAAATGGTCAGCTGCAGGCTTTCGATGAGTCACCAAAACTTAGTGGCGGTTTTCTCCCCTGTAAAGTAAGTAGGTAGGAATGATGTCTTTCCCCCGTTCCATCAACTCGGAACTCTAAGATACATATAAGGATAACTCCTCGTGCAGTCAGAATTCCCCTCCAAACAGGGTCTCCCTGACTCACAGATATTTCACCTTCAGATTGGAAGAGTCACAGCAAATATTCAACGTGATCAACACTGCTCACAGATGTTTAGGAAAACCACAACAGGCAACTGGCATTGTAGATGTTTCCTAAAAGTGTATCTCAACATTCAAGCCTGATATGTGTTCCGATAATCACTGCCTGCACCCACCCATGACAGCCCATAAAAAGAGATCAACCCTCCACCGCAGTTGGAAACACTGAGCCGCAAACCACTCACTTTGGGTTATCAAATTGGAATCCTATTGCTGATGTAATCAAAACAACTGAAAGGCCACTTAGTGAGCGTTCTGAAAGGAATATGGGCGATTTCCTAAGGATTCGTTATTTGTAGACCACCACCACCAAAAAACACCCTGAAAATGCACGAGACACACACACCTGTGACTTCTCCCTCTGTGTTCAGGAATTTTGCCTTTTTTCAGGCTTGGAGAGGAAAAAAATGCTGACTGGATAAAAAGCTGTTTATTCAGTATGATAAGGATCTAAGCTGCTCCAAAGAGTACAAATTTATGTGAAAATCAGGTTTTTCAATGCTTCTGTATAGAAATTATATTTCAGAATTTTGTAGTCATCCTCCCGTCTCCCTCCAAGATTCTCTTTCCAAAAAGCATTTTTTTGGAGGCTCAGTAACATGGGCCAATTACATTAGATATAAGCGAAATTAAACCAAGTTGCAAAAGCTCAGGAAAAACTACTCCAAAGATAAAAACAGAGACAAAGAAAATATAGCTGCTGACAGCTCAATGATAAGTCTCAGAAAAGTCATACCCATTTTCTTCCTTCCACTAGGTTGTCTGCCAAGCTCTGGGTCTGAAGGCTGAAGTGAAGACCCTTTTAGAAATGTATTTGGGACGTCCTCCTTAGTTCCATGCAACAAATGAGCTAAAATCCTGTATAAAAGAGGTCTAGAGCAGAAGAAAACCAAAATCAATTAAATTTGCATAAACAGGAAAAGCTTAAAACATCTATTTTTTAAAAGGTAGCCTCTGACACCAAAATGACCAAGTAATTCACTACACTTAGAAGAAAAAGGTTGCAGGGGCTGGCCTGTGGCCTAGTGGTTAAGTTGGCATGCTCTGCTTGGGCAGCTCAGGTTTGGTTCCCGGGTGCCAACCTATGCCACTTGTCAGCAGCCATGCTGTGGCGGCAACCCACATACAAAATAGGGGAAGATTGGCTCAGATGTTAGCTCAGGGTGAATCTTCCTCAGCAAAAAAGAAAAGAAAAAAGTTGCATGGTTATTATCCAAATTGCAAACTGTTCATGCTTTTTTAAATTTAAGAATACCATTTAACTCTAAAGACAATTTAAAACTCAGAGAAAACATGTCAACAACTTAAACCTCATCAAAAGTGACATACAATTTCAATGAATGCACAGAAATTCAGCTTTTAAACTCTCAAGTCCAGTATAAGATTTCCCAGTACCTAACACATCTGATACACAACAGGTATTCAATACACACTTACTGGACTAATAAATCCTTGTCTAGAAAAGGTCTTATGTCTCGAGAGCCAGGCTGCCTGGGTTCAAATCCTGGCCTTACTGCTTGACCCTAGCAAGATTCTTAACCTCCCCAGCCTCACAAATGTCTCTCCCTCTATAACTGAGGGTAAGTGTAGTCCTTACCTCATAGGGTAGTTATGGACTAAATGAGTCAATAAATGTAAGTGTTTAGAACTGTGTTGGCATAGATTAAATGGTGTATGAATGTCAGCCATAGAGGAGTTGAGTAATAACTAGTATTTAAAAAGCTAATTTACAGTTTATGAAACACTCTGCCCACTCCTCACTTTATCCTCACCCTGTGCTGTCATAATCGTCACGCCCAACTCATAAATGAGAAAACCACAGCTCAGCGAGGATTTGCTAGAGATCCCCTTCGATAGTAAGGAAACAAACTCTCCACTTGAACCCCAAGCTCCATGGTCTTCTCCTCCCCGTGTGCTGCCTGGAGATCTGCATCAGCACCCCTGCACGAATGGAAGCTGCTCTGCTGACAATAAAGACCGCAACAACAGAAATGCCTTCCTTGGTTTCCAACCTCATAGATGAAAACACAATTTCACGGGTTTTTTAAATTTTTGAGATATGCACTTACTCGCAGGTGTGATGGTTTAAAGTGCCACATTCCTTTCCCTTCCAAAGGGTGGAGCCTGACTGCCCTCCCCTGAGTGTGTGCTGCGCCCACTTCTAATGGACTAAGACGTTAGGTGACAGCCCTGTGCAACTTCAGAGCCTAGGTCGCCAACAGCACATGGCTTCCTCCTGCCTTCTCTCTTGGCCACTCTCTCCAGGGGAAGCCAGCTGTCCTATGGAAAGGTACATGTGGCAAGGAGCTGACCTCCTGGAAGCAGCCGTGTGAGGGAGCACGTGGAAGTGCATCCTCTGGCCCCAGCCAAGCTTTCAGAGGGCTGCATCCCTGGCAGACATATAGCTACAATCCCACAAGACACTGGGCAGGACCACCCAGAGAAGCCGCTCCCAGGTTCCTGACCACAGATAATAAATGTTTCCTGTTTTAAGCCACCAAATTCTGGGGTAATCTGTTATGCAGTAATAACTAACTGCATCCCGAAGCCATCTGTCCATACCACCAGGAGAGGAAGTTTCTCTATTTAATAAATAAGATGCTTCAATTCTTATGACACCATCATCCAGAAATATAAAATAGGTCTCTTTGCCTACTTTAAGCCAATGTTTCCCAAAGTGTTAACTGGTTCAAGATTTTTAAATTTAAAAAATTTTATTTTTTAAATTGTCATACAATAAAATTTACTTAAGATTTAGATATTTTAAAATGTTATTAGAAAGTATATAACTAGCACATTTAATCTGCAACTTCATGGATATTAAGTTTCTTTTTAAAAAAACAGAAGTTGAAAAAAATTTTTTTAAAGTACAGCCTCACAATACTTTATTTGTAATTCTGAAACACAAAAACTCGAAAACTAATCTTGTTCATAAATTGGCACAAATTCATTTGGTGGTGGGGCCTGCCCTAACCTAAGGCTATTCTAGACTTCATCCTGCTTTGTGTGGCAATGCCTCAGTTTCACAGGAAATACAACATGACCGTGGAGCACTACTCGAGAGTCCACCTGAACATACACTAGTGTTTGCCATACGGACCACAGGACTCTTTAGAATCTGAAAACTTTCCAATGGAAATGTTTTAGGACAAAGCTATCATTGTCTTGTAGAAAGCAAACTGCTGGCGGAGTGAAGCGTAAGCTGGAAAAGAAAGTGAGTGCAGACAGAGAACCCAGACAGCTGGCTCCTGAACAGCACAGCGCAAGGCAGGGGAACCGACAGGCGTGCTGCAGAGGCACAACCATGGGACCGGCAACATGAGTGGTGAGAAATGAGACCAAGCCAGAACCTACGTGGACTCTGAGTTTAGACCTGAATGGCTGCAGGAGGAACCTACGAGGGGTTTGAGGAGATGAAAATAACAGATGGCATGTTTGGACACACTGAGTTTGAGATGGCAGCAGAAAGGGGGGCCCACAATTCAGGAGATCTGTCAGATTTAAGGCAGAGCCACCCGCATGGAGGCGTCATTACAGACTCCAGAATACCTAGAAAAGTGGGCGGGGGGCAAGAAGTAAAGAAGGTTAAGGACAAAACTGAGGGAATGCCCACCATTTCAGGGAACCATAAAGGAGCCAATGAAGAAACTGAAAGAAAGACGCTGGCCAGTGGACCAGTACTTAGGCCTGCGTGCTCTGCTTCGGTGGCCCAGGGTTTCACCAGTTCGGATCCTGGGAGCGGACATGGCACCACTTGTCCGGCCATGTTGAGGTGGTGTCCCACATAGCACAACCAGAAGGACCCACAAGTAGAATACACAACTATGTAGTGGGGGGTGTTGGGGAGAAGAAGAAAAAAAAAGAAGATTGGCAACAGATGTTAGCTCAGGCGCCAATCTCTTAAAAAAAGAAAAAGAGGGCCAGCCCCGCGGCCAAGTGGTTAAGTTCACGTGCTCCACTTCAGCAGCCCGGGGTTTCACCGGTTTGGATCCTGGGTGCAGACATGGCACTGCTCATCAAGCCACGCTGAGGCAGCGTCCCACATGCTACAACTAGAAGGACCCACAACTAAAAATACACAACTATGTACTGGGGGGATTTGGGGAGAAAAAGGAAAAATAAAATCAAAAAAAAGGAAGAAATGGAGAGCACCATTAGGGAGACAGGAAAATCAAGACAGTAAAGGGTCATAAAAGACAAATGACAAAAAGCGTTATGAGTAGTCGTCAATATTACAAAATGCTGCCGAAACTCAAGTGAACCTGAGCTTCTCAAATTGGAAATACATATACACACACACCCACTGATGGTGCAAGGGGCGTGGCACAAACTACAGGATCAAGGCTGCATATGACCGGAACAATTTTATATGAAGATTTGTGGGACAGCTAAATTTAATTGGTGTGTCATTTAAAACATCTTTAGGGTAAAGCAACTATACCACGAAGTAGAACGAAAAAATTAATGAATTTTTAGAAAGAGAAAATGTGAGACTTCAAAGAAATTTCTTGCTAGAGGAAGGCAGCTTTGAGCTATGTTCTCAGGCTCCTACGTACAAATATTTTTGCCATTCAGGGATCCTCTGGAAAAAGTTTAAGAAACACTGAAGTAGGAAAAGAACTAAGAACCTACTAGAACACAGTTGCTCTCCTTTTCAGGAGCACAGTTTCGGTATAAATGGTGAGGGGAGAATTTAAGCGGCAAAGAGAGCAAGAGAGGGCGCGCTAACAAAATGAGAGCAGAGGGCTGCTTTTCCCCAAGCTGGGGGTAACAGGAGAGGGCGCAGCAGCTCAGGGCTGGGAGCTGCCCGGGGTTTTGGAGGAGATCTCTGAGGACGTTCCTAAGGGGATGTAAAGGAAGCAGCGGGGAAGAAGAGTAAGATGTGAGAAAGAAAACAATTACGGGAACAAAGCCTCAGGAGAAAAACAGGGACGTATCAAAGAGCCAAGAGGAGCGACCCTGAGAAACAAGTCGGGCCGAGGTCCTCGGAAACCAGGGGTTTTCATGTAAGAGCAGAGGCCCCGTCTGACTCGTTCCCAGCTGCACACGCGGGATGTAGGGCCGTGCTAGACACACTAGACCCAAAGAAATACTTGCTGAATGAAAATGAACTAAACCCACCAGCATGTGACTAGGGCTCCAATACAACGTCTGAAAACTTATTTTCAAACAAAAACTGCTTACATTGAATCATCCTTTGATTCTTCAAACGCATTCAGTTCACGGATAAGAAATTGTCTGTCCAAAGGAACTACAGGTTGACCAGATTCTGGAGGAAAAATCACGAAAACACTGAGTCTTTATTAATCTAAAAAGCAAACATGATTTTGATAAGAACCACACTTACCAGGTTGTACACATTTTTTCAGATTTTAGAAGAATGATGATGGCACATATCAAGGCGGGCGTAGCTATGTGTGATTTTATGACTTTCAAAATATCTCTTTTGTTAAATGTGTACCTTAACACAGTTTAACACAAATTCATTTTTTGAATCTGCCAATTTTTGGTTGGGAAGATACTGTTTCTGCACATTAGACTTCGGAGGTCTGTTTTCTAGGAAGGCTGTAAATTAAACACATGACAGTACTGATACCCATTTGGTGGCAATAATTCTCAAAGCGAAATTAACCCTAAAATGAAGCGCTGGCGAGGATACAGGGCCACCGGAACTCTCACACTTTGCTGGGAGGAGAGCAAAATGGTAGGGGCACTTCAGAAAAGAGTTGAGCCATTTTTATAAAGGTAAGCGTACACTTACCACACAACTCAGCAATCCACTCTTGGCTCTTTACCCAAGAGAAACGGGAACATGTTCACGCAAAAACTTGTACGTGAATGTTTATGGCAGCTTGATTCACAATGGCTAAAAACTAGAAACAACCCAAATGTCCATCAACTGGTAACAAATAAATCGGCAGGGCCATACAACGGAATGCTATTCAGGGGCAAAAACAAGCACGGCTGCATCGCAAATGCATCATGCTAAGTGAAAGCAAGCAGACTCAAAACATACATCCCGTATGGTTTCACTCATACGACATCCTGGAAAAGGCAAACGATAGGGACAGAAAACGACAGATCCCTGGTTGCTAGGGGTTGGGGATAGGCAAAGAAGTTGACTACAAAGGGGCACACAGAATTTCTGGAGGTGATGGAAATGTTCTGTGTCGTGACTGTGACTGTGGTGGTAGTCACACTACTGTGTGCATTTGGCAAAGTCCACAGGACTATATACTAAAAAAGGGAAACTACATTGTCTGTTAATTATACCTCAATTTTTTAAAAAGCCAAGACACTTCAAATGAAACTTGACTACTGTCACTCTATTTCATTCTAGGGAAGCCCAAGTCAAGACACCTAATGAACGATATTTTCATAATTTTCTTCTCTCTGAGTATTAATGGTAGTATATAGCCAGCCTTGGTGGTCTAGTGGTTAAGATTTGGTGCTCTCATTGCTGCGGCCCAGGTTCGCTTCCCAGTCAGGGAACCACACCATTGTCCACTGGTCGTCATACTGTGGCGGCTGCGTGTTGCTGTGATAGTGAAAGCTATGCCACCAGCAGGGTCACCCATGGTGGACAGGTTTCAGCAGAGCTTCCAGACTAAGACAGATCAGCAAGAAGGACCTGGCCACCCACTTCCAAAAAAATTGGCCATGAAACCCTATGAATAGCAGTGGCGCACTGTCCAACACAGTGCCAGAAGGTGAGAGGATGACACAAAAAGACCGCACAGGGTTCCACTCAGCTGTACACAGGGTCCTAGGAGTCAGAATCAACCTGATGGCACTAACACCAACAAGGGTATTACACAGCCACCTATAACAGACTGAGGAAAGTGGAAATAGTTATAATGAAGATCCTGAAACCAAGATAAATCATCAGTTTTTATTCAGTTAAGATATATGCTTAATATTAAATAAAAGAAAGTTCCAGCATCACAAATAAAGAATTCATTCTCTTCCAAAATCTACTTCGTGATCTCTTTCCTTTGACAAGGCACGTCTCCGAGGCATGAGACGGTCTGAAAGCACAGAGTAAACTTAAACAAGGGAAGCGAGTGATGGACACGTGAGGCCCTTCTGCTCCATCCCCCTCCCACCTCCCCCCCCAGACGTAAAGCCTACCTTGACTATTGCGCATCTCCTTCCCCGCTTTTACTGTCTTTCTGAAGAAGTAAATGTAACCGATACACTACATTTCTCCTTAACTGCACGCCCCCTCCCCCAGTACCATTTCTCTCCCTCCCATCACTAGAGTCAGTCTGGAGTTCACCTTCTTAAGCCTTTTTAAATACCATGCTTTTACATACATTTGTAACCAATACAGAGTAGCAATACTCTGAGGCTTTATTGCCATTGTTGTATATTTTTTAATAAAGAATATAGGCACAGGGGCTGGCCCTGTGGCCAAGTGCTTAAATTCATGTGCTCTGCTTCAGCAGCCCAGGGTTTCGCCAGCTTGGATCTTAGGTACAGACATGGCACCACTCATCAAGCCATGCTGAGGTGGCATCCCACATAGCACAATGAGAAGGAACCACAACTAAAATATACAACTAGGTACCAGGGGACCTTGGGGAGAAAAAGGAAAAATAAAAATCTTTAAAAAAAAAAAAGAATATAGGCATTAAATCTGAGTGTGTGTACATTTTTCAAGCATATACAAAGAAAAAGACTGGCAGCAAACGGCATAAAATGTAAACTGTTTATTCTCAGCATCAGGAATTATGGATGATTTTTCAAAGTATGCACCTATTTACGTGCTTATTTAGTTATTTTTTGTCTCCTATGATACAATAAGCCTCTTGAGAATCTGTTCAAGGCATGGAAAGAGCCTGTGTGACTTTTCCGTCCCAGTCACTCCCATGACACTGTTTGCTCATGGAATCAGCTTTCAGGGCTAGCCACTTCCGGAGAACTGGGGGAGGAGAGAAGCAGATTTCGTCCCGGGTGATTAACAGTAATGTCTTACCTGCCATGAGGACAGATGCTGTATACTTATATTTATTGAATTCCAAATACTCCCGAATTAATTCATTAATCAGAAGGTTCTCATGAGACAGCGGTGGCGGAGGTTCGCTTTCATCATCGAGGGCGCTGAAAACCTCAGCTCGAATCCTCGCTCTTAAATGCCCTAACACGCCTCTTTTTTCCAAGGTGTCCTTTAAAACTGTGAAATACAAAACAGGACCGCCTCAATTACAGGATAAGTTTTGTCATTCTGAGGCATGCTTTGAAGAAAAATGTTTCCAAGGTAAATGGCATAACGGCAGCTTTCAAATTAACATTGTGACGAACTGAACAATTATTGCACTAGCTGCCACAAAGCATGTTTGTAATGAAAAAGGAAGTTCCCAAGTTGCAATGGTTTACTCTTCTAACACACTCAAGCAAATTCGAGTTTATCCTTCCAACATCGTCGCTGTCCGCGGCTTTAGTCTCATGCACATTCTTTAGTGAGGAGAAAAGGGGACAGAATTACAGTCAGCACACTGGGACCTGAACTTAACCCCCCGTGTCTCATATATTTGCAAGAGTGTTTATCACTGCGGACCAGTTGCTGTGTGTCACTGAAAACCTCTGGTCCAGAAAGAAGATGACTAAAGATAACAAGCACACTCCATAAAAGGAAGGAATGTGTTGTCTTTTGTATAAAAACCTTTGATAGCCAGAACCCTTGGGGAATGGCCCATGATGACATAAGGGCGGGTTTTTGTTTTTTGGGTTTTGTTTGTTTTTTAACAATTATGAGCTAATTCCTTAAAACAGCAGGATTTTGAAATTTTCAGCCCGGTTAGAAATCAAATACGTGACCGGATCCCCGCCATCTAAGGGATCAGGGATACCCACGCTGAACGTAACCCAACTTCGTGAGGAGCACCGGGCACTATTACAAACATCAGTGAGTGCTACGGTGAGATCTAGCTACATACACCAGCAGGGATGAGGAGGGGCTGGGGCTGCACTGGCACCATCCCTTGCAGGGGTCTGGAACGTTCTTTTTCCAAATTGTCCCTAATGGCTAAAGAACAACTCCAGAGAATGGATACATCTCACCCACAATGCCTAGAATATAGTAAGAGCTCAGTTAAGGCTTCTGAGGAGCATTACCATACAGCGTGGTATACTGCTGCGCTGGAGTAAATATTATCTAATGCTGTACTGGGTCCTGCCAAAAACAACAGATCAGTACACCACAATAATGAACATTCATCAGGGGAGCCCAGCCAGCTTTGATCCATGTAGGCATAAATTTTTTTTAAGCTTTGATAACAACAAAAATCTGGTCATACAATTAAAGAAATACCATCTAGACTAGCTTTTAACCTTTCTTCCCCTTATTTTTCAATCATCCCCTCCACCTTTCTGCAGGTAGGGGAGTATCGTTATCACCCAATCTGACTTGGTAACAGGCCGGTAAAAGGAAGGTACAGCCTTATCACATTCTTGGGATCATAAGTGAACCCCCGTTTCTAATTCCATCTTTGGAAATCAGACGGAGAGCTATTTTTCACTGGCGAGGATCTGGTCCCAGTCACTCTGTATTTGCACACAGCACAGCCTCAGACTCAGCAGAGAACTGAGAATTAATGAAGCTGGAGTTAGGAAACCTATCAGATCACCACCTCAGCTGCCTTCTCCAACATAACGAGTTCTGCCTCTCAGAGGCAGAACTAAGTGAGGCGGAAAAATGTCAAAGCGCTTATAAAAAGTAAAAGCCCATGAAACTTCCGATAATTGATTGGCAAACACATTCTCCCTGGGTTTCTCTTGAACATAGAGCATATTCAGAACTGGGGAATGCAGAAAAACCATAAGGGGCTCCCTACATCTGTGTAGGACGTGCCTGATCCAGAGAATTAAGCCTTCTTTTTGGGGCGCCATAGCATTTTGCCCTTCCCTCTATTTGCATGCTTAAAACCCCGTACCATAACGACTTCTTCAAAGAGGTTCTCAACCTGGCTTAGATCCCAAAGTGTCTTTAAACCCTCTGACGTTGTATGCAATACTGCATGCGACACGCATCTGCTGGGGAGAGGGCTCGCCCTTCGCGGGTCTGTTCCTGTGGATCACGGCATGCCTTCCGCAGGACTGTTCACCAGCCCGCGCCGCAAATACACGTTTACATCAATCCTTACTGAACCACATTCTCATGGAGATTCAACCCCCTCCCCGCCAAATCTCTAGAAATGAGTGATTTCGACCGCAAGCTCCCTGAAAACCCGAACCGGTTTTGTTCATCGGGCATCAGTACCACCCAGGGATGAAGACTTGAGCTCTGGAACAGCCCATCTAGCTTCTCCCTCTGCCTCTTTCTGGCTGAATTACTCGGGGGGAGCTAGTCCCCTCCCACCACCACCTCGATTTCCTCGTCTGGGAAATGGGCACGGGGGGGTTCCACGGGATCAATGAGTTTCCACGGGGGCTGGGCAGGCCCGACGCGGGAGGCTCAGTCACCGATAACTGGCCTTCCGGTCCCTGACACCTGCGTCCCGACGAACGCTGTGCCCATGTCATCAAGTCAAGGGCCCGCATCTTGGTGGAACTTTCCCGAAAAAGACAGGAGGCCGGCCAGGCGGCTCTCGACCTCCGGTGTTTCCCGATGGAAAATCGGGCCCCACCTCCCGTCGTCGGAAGGACCTAAGTAAATGGCTCAGGGTTGTGCCCAACCCCAAGGATGGCTGTGGGTCCTGTCCCCAGCCCTAAGGCTCGCCCCCCGGCGGCGTCCACAACAACGCGCCCGAGGCCCGAAGGGGGGACGGCAGACCCTCAGGTGCCCCGGGAAGGCGGCCCCCGATGTTCCGCGCGCCCTCCCTGTGTCCCCTGCTCGTCACAGGCTGCAGGCCACACGTACTTCCCCCGTCAGCCTCCCCGCTTGTACTCACCGGCCTTCAGCTCGGTGACAGTCGCCATCTTTCAACCGCCGTCAAGGGCACGCCGGGGCTGTGCGCACGCGCAGCCCCGCCCCGCTCCGTGATCTGTAGCCAATAGGCGCACCGCTCTCGCCCAGCCCAGTCCCGCCCCTCTCCGTGTACGTTCTCCGCGATTGGGTAGGTGGTGAATATACAGAGAGACTCCACCAATCAGCGAGCGCTCTAGGCGGGCCCTGCTGAGCGGGAACGGGGGCGGGTGGGAAGGGAGACGGCGGCAGGTTCAAGCTGCAACGCGTGGCTGCTGCTGGCGCCTTAGTGCTTAACTTCAGCCTGCTCAGCCTTTCCTGATCTGCCCGCTGCTCTTCTCTGCAGCCCCAAGTACTCCTTGTTAATAGTCACCATGTATTAAGCCCGTTAAGAAGACTTGTTAAGACAGATTGCTGAGCCCCACCCCTGGAGTTTCTGATTCAGTAAATCTGGGGCGAGGTCCGAGAATTGGGATTTTCAAATTCCCAGGTGATGCTGATGCGGCTGATCTGGAAATCACACTTTGAGAACCACTGTATTAAGTACTTCCTATGAGCCTGACACCGTGCTAGATGCTTGGCATACGTTCGCTCGTTGATCTTTCTATTATTACTCCCGTTTGACAGACGAGGAAACTGAGTCGTTGATGACTGAAGAGACAAGATCACGGGCAAATGGTGGAGGTGAGGTTTGGATCCAGGCCTCTTGCTCCTCAAAGCCTGTTCTTTTCCGCGGGAGCTTAAATACTGGTTGGTACACATAAAGAGCCCAAGAGCTATTTCTGAAAATAACCGATGGACGAATGAGCTCCAGCATCCCAAGGAAATGAAGAAAAAGGAACATGGGGATAACGTGTGCAAAACTGAGTGTGAAGTTTTCTGATTCCACTTATATTGCCAAGGAGGCCAACATCTGTGACCTAGATCCTAGAACACTGCCTTTTGCACTACTGGTCTCAGCCCAATGGTAGGTTTTGAAATCAATTTGTTAGTGGATCCCAATGAGCTTATTTTCAATTAAATGGAATTGAACAAATAGAAAACATAGAAGTATTGTGGGGTTTTTTTTTTGAAACTTCTTTTTTTGGTATATATGGGTGTTCTGGTGCCTGGTGTATTTCTTAAAGTGGGTGAGAGTCCAAAAAAGTTTGAAAGCAGTCCAGGCCCGGTGCCACAGCAGTTAAGTCCGCACATTCCTCTTCAATGGCCCGGGGTCCGCTAGTTTGGATCCTGGGTGCGGACATGGCACCGCTCATCAAGCCATGCTGTGGCAGGCGTCCCACATATAAAGTAGAGGAAGATGGGCACGGATGTTAGCTCAGGGCCAGTCTTCCTCAGCAAAAAGTGGAGGATTGGCAGCAGATGTTAGCTCAGGGCTGATCTTCCTCAAGAAAAAAAAAAAAGCCATTGTAATCTAGAGGAATCCAATTCCCATTCCAAACTAGATTAATTTTGACCTTAAATTACATGGATCTGTTCTGTAACCTTAGAAAGGTCCTATCCTGTCACACTTCCCTATTCTGTAAACCCCACAGTGCCTGAATTCTGGACCAGCATCAGAAGAGATTTATAAAGATTAACTAAAGTCCATAGGGAGAACCTTTGAGCGCTTCAGAGAAGAGTGTTCCTGAATAGATTGATGAGGAGCCCAGAGAGAGAGGCAGAAAATAATGTGATTGACGGCAGTGGTAATGATAGCATAGCTGATGTCCACTGCCACGCTCTGTGTGTGGGCACTGCTCTAAAAGTTTTACTAAGTGTTCACCAAACACCCCATGGGGGAGGTAGGTGCTCCCACAGCAGTCACTGAAAGTACAAAAACGTGTGCTCAAATTGGGTAGTACGGTGCGTTAGTGAGGATGTGGGGAAACAGGCTTTACCATACCTAGCTGGTAGGAGGGTAAGTTGGCACCACTTTCTCAGAAGGCTGTTTGTCAATATCAATCAAGCTTTCACACCCTTTGACCCATCAATTCTAGTGCTGACTGTATCTTACAGATATCCTCGCACCTAATCGTGAAGGAGCCAGCCTGATGGTCTAGTGGTTAAGAATCAGCGCTCTTGCTTCCTGGGCCCCAGTTCACTTCTCGGTCTGAGAACCACACCACCGTCTATTGGTTGTCATAATGTGGCGGCTGCGTGTTTCTGTGATGCTGAAAGCTATGTCACCGGTATTTCAAATAGCAGCGGGTAGACTGGTTTTGGCAGAGCTTCCAGACTAGACAGACTAGGAAGAAGGACCCGGTCATCTACTTGTGAAAAACTTGACCATGAAAACCCTAAGAACAGCAGTGGAGCATTGTCCGATACAGCACTGGAAGATGAGAGGATGGCGCAAAGGACCAGGCAGGGTTCTGCTCTGCAGTTCACAGGGTCGCTAGGAGTCAGAATCTACTGGCCAGTACCAACAAAAACAATTAGAAAGGATATGTCTAAGAATGTTCATCGCAGGGGCCGGCCTGATGGCGCAGCGGTTAAGTGCACACGTTCCACTTTGGCGGCCCAGGTTCGCTGGTTCGGATCCTGGGTGCAGGCATGGCACCACTTGGCAAGCCATGCTGTGGTAGGCGTCCCACATATAAAGTAGAGGAAGATGGGCACGGATGTTAGCTCAGGGCCAGGCTTCCTCAGCAAAAAGAGGAGGATTGGCGGCAGTTAGCTCAGAGCTAATCTTCCTCAAAAAAAAAAAAAGAAAATTTCATCGCAGCACTGTTCATGGTAGACAAAATCTACATACACCTTTAAAAATGGCTGAAATAAAAACAACTGCCCATGACAGTGCAGAATGCACAGTGAGTATGCATATATTGCTGGTGGAAAAACACACTGGTATGGTCACTTTGCAAATCAGTTTGACGACTGCTTATTAAGCCAAACATACACTTACCATGCAACCCAGCAATCCCACCCCTAGGTGTTTACCCAAGATAAATAAAAGCTGATATCCACACAAAAGCTAACATGCAATACTTGCAGATCTATTCATAACTGCCCCAACTGGAAAGGACTCAGTGTCTCCCAACTGGTGAGTGGCTGGGAACTAGCTGTGGTGTATCTGTACCACGGAATAGCAGGCAGTGATAAAAACGAACCAACCCCTGATACACACAACAGTATGGACGAATCTCAAACGCATTGTGCTCGGTGAAAGATACAAGACTCAAAAGGCTACACCGTGTATGATTCCATTCATGTGACGTTCTGGAAAAGGCAAACGAATGTCCAAAGACATTTGGAAAAGGGACAGAAAGCAGATCAGTGGTCCCCAGGGGCTGGGGATGCATGACCAGGACTGTCTATAAAGAGGCACTGGGGAGATTTTTGGAGTGATGGAAACGTTCTACATCTTGATTGTGACTACACGATTGCATACGTTTACCAAATTCATAGAGCTGGACACTCAGAAGTGTGAACTTTACTGCATGTATGCCTCAACCTGACTTTTAAAAAATTACTGGAGGGCCAGCCCCAGTGGCCTAGTGGTTAAGTTCGGCATGCTCCACTTTGGCAGCCCCGGTTTGGTTCCCAGGCGCACGCCTATACTACTCGTCAGCAGCTATCCTGTGGCGGCAGCTCACATACAGAAAGGGGAAGATTGGCAACAGATGTTAGCTCAGGGAGAGTCTTCCTCAGCAACATAAAAAATTACTGGAAATACCAATATCATCAAGAGGGATACTGGTTAAGTAAATTACGGTACAGCCATAAATGAAATGTTACACTGTCATTCCAAAAAAAGAGGGAGTCCTGAACATACACATCTGTAATTATCACCAAAAATGCGTAGATGGGAATTTTTAAAAGCATTGTCCAGCAGACAGCGTGTAGCATGTCACCAATGGTTTGAAGAAAGGGAAAATACTGGGATTTGTTTCCCTATACATGGGATACCTCTGAAAAGATATCCAAGAAAGTCCAAACAAAAATTGCCCCCGGGGAGGAGGACTGGGTGGCTAGGCGTTGATGGTCAGAGACACTTTTTCTTTTTTTTAAAGAAGAGGTTTTTATTTATTTATTTTGGGGGGCAGGGTGAGGAAGATTGTCCCTGAGCTAACATCTGTGCCAGTCTTCCTCTATTTTGTATATGGGACACCACCACAGCGTGGCTTGATGAGTGGTGTGTAGGTCTGCGCCTGGGATCCAAACCTGTGAACCCCAGGATGCTGAAGCGGAGAGCACGAACTTAACCACTACGCCACTGGGCCGGCCCCCTCCATAGTTGTTTAGAGGTTCTCCAGCGGGATGGAGCCCGAGCTGCAGAGAGTGGCGATAATTCACCATTGCCCGTTTTCACCTCCTTTCCAATATCACACAGCTCTCCAACTCCAGGTTCTCAGAATTCTTCCCAAATAAACTCCTTGCAAATAAGTCCTTATGTCAGATTCTGCTTTTTGGGTTAAACCGAGTTAGGACAATTACCTCTATAGAGCTCTATCTCTAGCTAGCTAACTAATGAAATTTCATGGTGTGTTGGGTGTATGCCAGACATGGCAGCAGCGCGGGCGGGGGACGTGTTTTGAAGTAAATACAGAGTCTTTGCATGATTCCTCATTACTGCAATTATGAGCGTCAGCTTTTTGATATAGGCTCATTGCCACTGATCATCTCAAGTGGAATAAATGGCTATTCATGAACTTCATGGAATGTGAATTCGTGAGCTCATTGGATGACAAAAATGGGAATTTTATTGTGGCCAGCCCAGTGGCATAGTGGTTAAGTTCGACTGGTCTGTTTCAGCAGCCCAGGGTTCCTGGGTTTGGGCCCAACTAAAGGCCTACACACCAGTCATCAAGCCAGGCTGTGGTGGGGTCCCACATGAAAATGGCGGAAGATTGGCACAGGTATTAGCTCAGAGACAATCTTCCTCACCAAAAAAAAAAGTGGGAATTTTATTGTTGCATCTTTTTTGTTTTATTGTTATGCAATATTGTAAGCCAATGTGGATATATGTAACTGGTATATGCAGAGAGCATTCCAAGTGAGAGGAGAAAGGGGACATAGAGAAGGGACCTGAACTGTCTTCTCAAACCACAGAACCTTGTTTGATGTTTTAATAATCTAGTTTCAGGGGTTGGCACATGGGACCACTGCCTG